AAAACACACATATAATTACATATTGTTTTTGTGATGAATCACTATGCTTTAATTATGTTCAATTTGTAACAATGAAAATACATCCTGCATATCAGATATTTACATTATGATCACTACAGTGGCAAAATTACAGTTACGAAGTAGCAATGAAAATAATTTTATGGTTGGGGGTCACCACAACATGAGGAACTGTATTAAAGGGTCGTGGCATTAGGAAGGTTGGGAACCACTGATCTAGAGTGAGGGCAGTCCAAACTTAGAATATTTTAAAGGGAAATACCAATTTACAAGCGCGTGCGCACACACACACACACACACACACATAAGGGGACAGCAAGCTGTGTGGTGCGAGTAAATGGGGATGTTTGGTTAGAAAGGGATGTCAAAATAGACATATTCTTTCTTCAGACATTAAAAACTTGCCAGGTGGAGGAGGACAAATTGTTGACAGCTGCAACAGTTAGAACAGGAAATGCCTATATCCAGACTTTAGTTAAATCAAAACAAAGCAATGATATTTCCTACAGTCCTGTCCACGATTGGAAGGTCTTCAAAACTGATACCTCTCCTCCATATAATGTATTTTGCCATGCATAGCTACATAACTTGGTTAAAACCAAAGTATGGTTATTTTAATAAAACAAAATACTACTTGCTGACAATAAAATGCTATATTACAAACCACTTTTTAAAATTACAAGTAAGCTTGGAATGGTCATCTTTGACAAACAGTATTAACAAAACCACTGACCAATTTCCAGTGTCAATTTTTCTGTGCTGGTTAGTACTAACCCTTTTTCAAACATTGGTGTTCACTTCTTTACATAGTTTTGGTCCAGTGGCTTTCTCAGCACACAATTCAAAAATTTTCAATTTAACTTTGTAACAGATTTACGTTAAGCAATGATGATTCTAATGGGTTGTTTGAAAACAACTTTGATTGAAAGTTTAAATAATTGTTAGAGTAGACACAGAAACAAATCTGCAATTTACAGATTAAATCTTGTGTTTAGTCTGGTAGTAACTATTTCAGTAATACAAAGAAATATAATAAATTTCATCTAAAAGGTGCCAAAGATGAAAAGATTTTTATACTAACTTTCAGCATATGTACTGACTTACCAAAACTACTGATAGAAAACTCTTTAAACATTATCAGATTTCAGTGAAATTTTTTAACATGAGTTGTTTCCTTAGCCTTTAAAATAATATCAGTGTCCTCCAAATATTAGCATATGATTCTGACTTCCACATCTCTCTGCTAACAAACAAACAAAAAACCAAAAAGACAGTATAATAGACTTATCTATATATAGGACAGGTCTTTGCCTTTGTCAATGAAGAAAAATGCTTAAAAAATATTTTCCCTAAGAAATTGTCAGAAATCAAAACTTGTCCAGAGCTCCAAATACACTATTAAAATCTCTTTGCATATTATACCAAGTCATGGTTGTTACATAATCCCTCACGCAATAAATACATTGCAGAGGTACTTTCAAGAACTAAAGAAAATCTGAATAACTCAGATTAAATTAGACAAGTGCATTCATTTTAATGTTTACTTGTTCATTTATTTTATTTTATTCAGAATACTTTTTCTTCCAATTGTTTAGCTAATTAGGTTGGAATTTAAAAACTATCTTGTAGTTAACAAAATTATTCATGATTCTTAGGGTCAGTGGAATGGAATATACATAACCTTGCCACAGGGCAGGACTAGAAGGTTAAATGCAGGGTTTACTAGCCCTGCCATAGCTTTGGAACTGAGTAGACCTGGATTTGATCCCTGGCCTCATATGTACAATGGGAAGGCCAATACCCCCTTTAAATGGTCATTATTAACATTTAGAAGATAATTCTGCAAAGTGCTTGTTAGCACAGAACCTGCTCATTGCAAAGGTATAGATCTCTCATATGTCAATCCAGCTGAATCAGCAAATTTCACTATCACATAGGAGATGATCTAAAAAGTCAATAGTGAAAGCTAAATCTACGAATCCCTAATATATTCTATGTGGGACAAAGAGAGGTGAGTTCAGTAAAATTATTTTGAGGGGCATCAAAATGACTTCTTGATACATCCCCTAGTTTTGGGTTTCTTTGTTCTGTTGAATTTAGTCATGTGAAATTGCCAATATTTGATCATTTGACCAAGAAAAACTGCAGTTTCATAAGTCAATAAATATTGCATATAAGTGAAGAAAAGTATGTCTTGCTCTTCTTATAGTTCTATCAAAAATCATAAGTTTAATGTCTGTTAAAAACAAAACAACAGGACGTAAAGTGTAGGTAGCACTTTGGAGTCTGAAAGGCCTGGTATTCAATCCTAGCTCACCCACTATCTACTGACTTTTAAAATTCCATAACCTCTCTGTCCCTGTGCTGTTTGTAAAATGGAGGTAGCAATATCTGTTTTACAGCGCTCTGCCAAAGCTAAAATGAGACACCGTATATTAGCGCTCTGCCAAAGCTAAAATGAGACACCGTATATTAAAACATTTTGTATAAAACATCCCCAAATCTAATAAGTTCATGGTAGTCTCCATTTACTGATACTCATATTCAAATTCTATTAAGTGATTAACACTTTGAAATGATTTTAAGCCTTAATTTATTATTTTTCCTTCTTGTTGTTTTGAAATGGTAAGTAATAACTTATGTATCATTAACAGAGGTGGCTGTAAAACACTGTGAAATAAATGGAACTTGGGAACTAACTGCTGACATGAATGAAACCTTGACCAACTACAGTATGTGTTATGCTTTCTCCGATGAAAAAATGAAGGTAGGTTCTATTTCAAATTTCAGTATTTCGTGATAATGCGCACACACACACACACACACAATACGTATGAATACATAACTGCAAAGTATCTGCTAACAAGCTGCTAACTTATAGAATAAAATCAGATAATAACATATATTTAATTCTTTTCCATTTAGAACATTCATTTTAGTGTTTTTTAAAGTGGATACTTAAGCACCAATTTCCTTTTTTTTCCATGTTGATGTTTAGTATATATCTGTATCCCGTTCTGTGGATAAACTGCATTCACCAGTTGATGGACACTGGAGTTGTTCCCAGTGTTTGGCTATTATGAATAATGCTGCTGTAAACCTTTGTGTTGACATACATTTTCATTTATCTTAGGGCTTCTTTTTCTTTCCAGGGGGATTTAAAATTAGTTTCTCTTTTAAGAACCAAATTTTCTTTGTTATTCCACTCAATTGTATATTCACGTTCTCTTTATCAGTACAATATCTTTTACATTCTTTGAGTTTCTTTCCTCTATAACTCCTGTAGTTGGAATTTTAGATCATTAATGTTCAACCTTCTTCATTTTCACATACGCCTTTTAGTCTTTAGATTTCCCTCTATGTACAGCTTCACCTGTATCTAAAAAGTCTTGGTATGTCAGTATGAGTTTTTTAATCCAATGGTCATTTAGAAATGTATGCTTAATTCTCAACAATATGATAGTGTTTTTAAAGTTATCTTTTTATTAATGATTTTTTAAACTACTCTGGTCAGCGAAGATGGTCTTTAAGATTTCAATTATTGGAAATATGTTAAAATGTGCTTTACTGATTAGTGTATGGCATTTTGGATAAATATTCTCTGAATATTGAGTCAGCACCTGAAAAGAATGGTATTCTGCAGATGTTGGGTGCAGTGTTTATTATGTGAATTAGTAAATTTTATTGATGTTATTCAGATCTTTACAGCTTGTTTTTTGCCTGTGTGTTTTATTGGTTACTAGGAGATATCAATTTTTGCTTTATGTTTATATGGTTTGAGTTCATATTATTAGGTGCATAGAAATTTAAAATTATTATAGCTTCTTAACTTAATATCTGCACCTATATGATATTACACCAGTTATGGCTAGGGTTAATCTGAGTCATCTTTTCCCATCCTTTTACATTCAGTGTTTTGGTATCCCAGTATTTAATGGTGTTTCTTATAAGAAGCATATAATCCCTTTAAAAATCATCTAGTCCAACCAAATTATTTTATAGGTGAGGACTACTGAGGTCTAGAGAGGTGAAGTGACTGACTTTATGAAAGTACACAAAGACTTAATAATAATACTCTGAGTAAAGAACAGCTCAGATAAATCCAGTCTTGTGCTCTTCCCACAATGTCATGCATAGTCTTAATCTCATAATATTCAATCTATTCATCCAGTTTATTATAATTCAATATAATTTAATTCTTTGAAATACTTGTTCTGATTTTAGTAGGTTATTTTAAAGGAGGGAAACAGTTCTTGATTTACACTGATATTTAAAAATAGAAACTGCTTCCCCCTTCTATCATCATTTATTCACTCACAGCATTTGTGTTTGTAACTGTTGTTGTTGCTGCCATTGTCATTCCAGCATGCTTACATGATGTTCTACGTGGCTGTTGTGGGACACTCTGTTTCTCTTCTCACCTTGACAAGTTCGCTGGGGGTTTTCCTGCGTTTCAGGTAAGCACCCTCATAGCATCTGCTTTTTCTTTCTTCTTTAAGATACTGAAATAAATGGAAAACTCTGTAAAAGTTGGGCGGGGAAGGATCTCCTGCAAATCATAGAGTCATGAAGTAGCAAGAAAAAGTATATTAATTATCATACTACGAGTAAATAAGCAATTACATAGTATATAAGATCCCTGAAGGCCAAAGCTATCTGTTTTGTTCATCTGTATATACCTAGAATCTACCAGAAGGTCTAAATTATAGCAGGTACACAGTCATGTATGTTGGATTATTGAATGAATTTTAATAAATTTTTAAAGTACCTTTAACTCATTTCAGAAAGTTCAGTGTAAACGTCATCAAGTAAATGCAAGAAAACTTTTAACAAATAGCAGAAATTATATTGAAATTATTCAGGGTGGTTCCAGTTCTCACAGGACATTGAACATTAACCAGTCCTTTAAGTCAGTGTAGTACATCAGCAGATCGTTGAACTCTACCTGACTAACAGAAAACCAGGCCGGAGCTTAGCAGCACTGTGTGATGCCTTCATCCACACTCCTCATGCTGGATGATGCCAACTGTCACTGGTTTATGCCATGCCGAATCCAATAATGGGACCAGAGGCATTTGCCTCCCAGTGAGAAGAATTATAAAATGCCATTATGACTGTAAGGGAAATGGCAAGTCACAGGTTTAACAGTGCAGTAGGGAAGAGTTTAATGCAGTGTAAATGGGTATGATGTTTCATATAAAGCATTTTTTTCTTATTAAATCCTTAAATTTACAACCTACTTTTATAGCACTATTATAAAATCAATTAGGTTTGGTTTATTTAACAGACTTTTCTGCTGCTAAAGTAGTACATGGTAGTGTGTGTGTGTGTGTGTGTGTGTGTGTGTGTGTGTGAGAGAGAGAGAGAGAGAGAGAGAGAGAGAGCGAGAGAGAGAAAGGGAGAGAGAGATCTAAACCCCATTCTGCATTCCACTCCTGATCAACAAGTGCCAAATTTTAAAATATTGTGTATTAACTATTTACTGATGCTTGTGCTTCCTGAAAATTTGAAAAATGTAGCTACAATAATCAAAATGTGCTCTAACACATGACCTCATTACTTAAACTTACTTTTTGCTACAGACAATTGAGTTGGAAATATAGGAAAAGCATTGTAAGCATTGTAGACTACCCTCATATTTTATCTTTCATCAAAATTCTTGGGATTCTAACTTTATTCTATGAATAATTTTTAGGGGTAGTTATTATTATTAATCTTTAGCATCATTAACTTAATGCATTAGGTTTTCACATGATGCTACACATTTTTTAACTGAGCCCAATATGGTAAATACAAGATTTACATTTATCTAAGATAATCATTCCAATTTTGTTATAGCCATTCTATAGGCTCTCTTCATTTGCATCAAAAAGTGAAATAGGATATTTAATCATGCTTACTCATATGAACATTCGCACAAATACATATTAAAAGTTTATGAAGGACTTTTAAAAATCCAACAAATTGCTTAGCACCCAAAGGGTGGGACATGGCTATGCAACAAGTATAGGTATCGACAGATCCAAACCACAGGATGCCTCATAATGAGGTCAAATTTGAGCCTATTTAAAATTCTTTGCCTGCGCCTGAGCTCCACCATCAGGAGGCGTGGAAAGTAGGAACTACAAAGTTGATTCCAAGTGGATTATGAGAGATAAAAAGACTTCAGAGCAAATGTCAAAAGAGACGATGAGGGGAAACTTCATAAAGTCTGTGTATGTCAGGGTCAAGGCCATGGATCCAGTGCTTTGTCACAGGCCACCTTCCTTCTTCCTTCATGCTCTCTTATCCCACTTGCCACACAGTTTCTGCCTGGTTACATCACTAAATGGTTGACTTTTCATCTGAAGCACACGCCAAACTATCACAGTTTCTCCTGTAAGAGCTCTTCTCTCAATTAATTTCGCGACATTTATTCTAATTAAAAGTGATTTTATCACCCACTCTTTCACTTGTTGGGCAAAGTCACCTGAAAACTGAAAGCTGTGAGAAAACTGTTTTTAAAAACTCAGGAGTAAGAGGTCCTATAGATGGGACCAACCTCACTTGTTTCAATACATCTCTCAACGATTGCTAAAGGGAATATTAAAAGTACTGCCAAAATATTTTCCCACCAAGTATTTCAACATTTTAGCACTGGTTAATGCTGTTACTTTTTCTTCTAGGAATCTTGCCTGCCAACGGGTTACCATGCATAAGCACATGTTTCTGACTTACATTCTGAATTCTATTGGTGTCCTCGTCCACCTGACCCAAGTGGTCCCCAAAATTGAGTACGTGAACTCGGATCCGGTGAGCACTGCCTTATTTGTTTTTTAATTCTATTTTTAAAGATGTAGCATTTGTAAATAGTTAACATGGTGTTATTGTTTGTAAAACTAAATGGTTTGAAATACTGTATTATTCTTGAAAAACTGACATTCTAGAAAACATTTGAAAGGTTCTCCATAGCCAAGAAGAGTAGAGACAGCAAATAAAAACCCAAAAAAAGGACCAAAAAAAAGAGTGCAAAACTTTTTTAGAAAGGGAAGTTGTTGGACATTTTCAATCTTCAAATATTAACTGAAATTGTAACTAACATGAAAAATTTAACCACAATCCTAATTAAGGAAAAGCAGATCCACAATCAGTTCATCTAGCTGTGATTCAGGCATTATGTCTACTTTGAAAAACAATATATCATTTTAAAGACAATTTCTCTCCTAAGCAAACTAAAGACAGAGTTATGGATTACTTTTTCATTTTGACCCAATTCTCAGGTCACGGAGTCAGCAAAAAGATATTCTTTCCCAGTGCCCAGGGGGATATATTTTAAAAAGAAAGTTATTTCCTGTAAAATGTGGCTGCATCATTCCAACTGTTGTTGCACTACTTCTATTAGAGTACATTTTATTGGGGGCAAAATAAAACAGTGTTCTCACTCCTCAATGAGGAGTCCCCATGGGTTCATGGTCCCTCTCCCATCAGAGTAGTCAGTTTCTTTCCTTGGGAGTTTTTAGGTTAAGTAGGTTCTCTCCTGTAAAACCAAGTGTGAAAATTCTATTCCTTCATATTTTTTAAGTTAAACTCATGGCATAAATAAGGGCTGAATAGATCCTCAGTTTACTGAGTGATGTGAAAATTGCCCATTGTCATCCATGTCATTGGAGCATTTCATTTCCATAATATTTAAAATTTCATTTATTGCTTTCTCTGCTTATTTCTTCATGTGGAGAGTCAAGAGACAGAATTAAAAGTATTGTTCTTGCTGCATCTAAAGGAAGTGGCATCCTTGTCACTTTCTGGAAAGAAATGTGCCTCTGAACTTTTTCTCTGGGTCTGAAAGCTATAATACAAGGAGATTATTAGTTTTTACTGGGAACCTGAGTTTTTTGCACCTCAAAAGCCAAAACAATCAAGTCACATTTTCTGTAGCCTCCTGTATAAGAACTATCCCAAGTTCTGAAAAACAAAGTGAATTTTTTCTCATTCTGACACTTGAGCCACCAAGTGAGCCACCATTGTTCAGGACACTTGAGCCACCAAACTCTGTTGGAACTTTATCCTAGTCATAAGATGATCTACTCAGAATGGATGCTCAGGGCTCAGGCAGGAGAGACCGATGAAACCCAGGGAGGAGAACGGATTCCTCCTGGCTAACCCAGAGGCAGCTGCTGCAAGGAATAGTATAGAAATGTGAGGGAGGGGACAGGGACAGCAGAGCATTTGAGATGAGAGATCAGTGGCAGATAAAATTACATTGGAGTTATCCATTTTGTAGGCTCTAGAAGCAGTGAGATTGGGAATGAAAAACTGTAATGGATTTGAGGGACAGTGCAGAGAGACTATGCCAAAATGTGAACATGGGATACAGCATCCCACTCTAGTCGTTGATGCTACTTCATATTACTCCCATGTCAAAATCAGTAAATGGTATTTCATTAAAGATCAGATGATGTGGGAAAATAGAGAGGGCTTCTTTATTCTCTTTAAATTGAATTACTTAAAATTGGATTTGAAGAACTTATTATGGATTTTAAGAGGTTATTCCTAAAATGGCCACAGGCATCAACCCAATGTCCAGTTTCTCTTATCTGGTCTATCTGGCTGGTGCCTCTACACAGATAAGCATAGCTCACAAGCGGTCTCTTGTGTCATGGTTTACGTGGCGAGCCCTCATCTCAACATGTGCATTTCCACTGCTTTTAAAAAGCTATCGTGAATTTAACGCAGACCTTCTTATAGATTTGCTTTCATTCCAGTTGAAGTACAAGGAGTTTCGTACACTCCTTTGGGGTATGTTGGTTTACTGCTAGAACGCAGCTACAGAGCAACAGTCAATCTGGTATTTGCTGTGCTTCCCTGGTTTGCTCCAAATACTGTAGCACTGTTGTTGCTGGACTATAGAATCTCAGATCCCAGCTCTTCTACTCCCTTCCAGTTCATTCTGTAATCTTGAGCAGGTTACTAAACCTCATTGTGCCTCACTTTCCTAATGTGTAAAGTGGAGGCAGTAATAGCCCCTTCCTCATAGAGTTGTTTGTGAGGATTAAAGAAACCAATACACCTAAAACCCCCAACAGGGTCTGGCACATAGCAACTCTCAATTGTTGCCTCTTATATTATTTATATTATAGTTGTTACCATTGTCATTAGGCCTTAGCTTAAGGCTTAAGCCCTTGTCATTTTCTGTGACACCCACTTTCATTTCTGTGATACACAGCATAGGAGATGTGGAAACTCTGAGCATTTGTTAAATTCTGCTTCAATCCAAAAGGGCCTAAGTGTAAAAGCAGAATGCAGGGAATACTCAGAGTTTTGTAAATCACAAATAATCAAAAGAACTGTGGTCTGAGAATATAAAATTAGATCAGTCATGGCCTGAGAATCCCCAGAGAAGAGTGATATAATATGCTCATTACATCATATAGAGCAATGGTTTTCAACCTTCCTAATGCCGCAACCCTTTAATACAGTTCCTCATGTTGTGATGACCCCCAACCATAAAATTATTTTCATTGCTACTTCATAACTGTAATTTTGCTACTGTTATGATCATAATGTAAATATCTGATATGCAGGATGTATTTTCATTGTTACAAATTGAACATAATTAAAGCATAGTGATTAATCACAAAAACAATATGTAATTATATATGTGTTTTCCGATGGTCTTAGGCAACCCCTGTGAAAGGGTTGTTTGATCCCCAAAGGGGTCATGACCAACAAGTTGAGAACCACTGATATAAAGACTCTTGAGCGTAGCAAGCTGTTAATTCTTATTCCCCTGCTGTACTGCCAGCAGGCTTCCTTTTCCTGCTTTTCTGTTGACTGTATTTTTGTTTGCTGAACATTTCCAGAATGCTTCTTTAGCCACTTCCTGGATCATCTTCCAATGTACTTATCCCAGATGGGACTTTTTTTCTCCAGTGCTTCCCCCTGCGCCCAAACACACCGAATCATGTCTGCAGTTCCATAGACTCAATTCATTTTCTCTAAGGCTTTATCAGAAATCAGCTCAGGATTGCATGACACAGTCACATTTAATTAAAAATGTTATACCTTTAGATTCCTCTGGAGACACTTCAGTACTTCCCTACAAAGCTAGTTAATGCTGACTTTCTGGGTGGGGGATTTTCCTCCTTCATTCAGCCAGCTTTAGAGAATGTACACATTGACAGTTTTCAAGTTGACCGAAACCTTTGCCCCTTGGTTTACCACTAACATCTTGATAAGAAATTCTATAGTTCCTCCTCCTGAGGTTTTGGTGTATATATATATGGATCAAAGTCAGGAAGGTCCCATTGCATTGGGACTCTGCTGGAACAGGGAGCTTAGGCTCTTGGGTGATTAAGATTATTAGCACTAAAAGGCCAGCCAGTAACTAGAGCAGAAGGCATCAGTTGGGTTCAGCATAGCTCCTGGATCATATATGACAAATGCATCCCCTGGTTATCTCCTTTTTGTGCCTGAAGAGATATCACCAACATATTGATGAACTTCAGGAGCAGCATTAACCATTTCTGGGTTATTCACCTCATTGGCCATAGAAAAGGTGCTTTAAAAGTCATGTGACAGATCCTTGGCTGTTCTAGAAAATGATGGGTCTCAGACTCATTGAAGAAAAATAAATTTGTCTAATCCATGCAAGTCACCAAAGTGTAATAGAAAAAGAACATTTTAGGGACTAGGCTTCCATTCCCCTAGATGGCTGTTTATATGTAGTACAAATGACCTATGCACCATGACTCCGATTTGTGGATACAGAGGGTGGCATGTGTTAACAGATGCTCGGGGAAGCTGAATATGGGCTGAATGCAGATACTTGGACTCATTGTCACATTTACCCTCTGTTTACTGTCAAATCCTTGCCCGTGTCTTCCACTGAGTATCTCCATTTCTTTCTGACAGCTGAGCTGCAAGATTCTGAATTGTATCAACCATTACTTGATGTTATGCAATTATTTCTGGATGCTCTGTGAAGGGATCTATCTGCACAAACTCCTTGTGGTGAACGTGTTCAATGGGGAACAAAACATGAAGTGGTATTATCTCTTGGGCTGGGGTATGTATTTCCTCCAACTGAGTTTTGAGCCACTCTCACCTCTATCTGTATATTTATAATGTTCTTGGAATCTTGGTCTGAGAGACCAATCAGGGGCCCTGGTCCTTTGAGATGCTGGGAAGAGTTCAGTCTCCAAGAGAACTTGGTAGAATCCCTTTAACAAGTTTAAACAGATTGTGATGAACATAGGAGTCAGCGTGGAAATGGGGGGATATGATTATGAACATATTCAGGTAACCCAGCTAATGGATAGGCAAAAACCATACTGTGGTTGAGAGAAGATCTGAGTAGGCCCCCTTTCAGCTTTATTTTTCATCTGTTTGTAGAGCAAAGGAGAATTCCACATTTTGAATTCTGTGTGTCCTTCACCCTCACCCACATCCCCTCCTCAAGAACATTCCTTCTTGTCAATCCAACAGCAGGATTCCTCCAATGACAGATCAAGAAGTGGAGTCTAGATGAGCAATAGATGTAACAACATAGGCCTCCAAATAGAGCCTATCTGGCATCATTGCACATGGTAATGGCTTTAAAATCCTATCCCTGGGTTGCTTCAGCTGTGACCGCTTCTGTAGATTGACTAAGGCAGGTGCTATGGTCCATGAGGACTCTTCAGAATTGTTCCCCTTCCCTCAGGGCTGCTAACAGCCTAGCTCACCCTGGTTAAAATGGAGCCGTTGGATAATGAGGTAGTGAGAGGGAAAAGGCTCTGGGACAAAAGCACATGTGGCTTTATTACAAAAAAAAAAAAATCCCATGAAACTCCCTTACCAGAGGAGGATTCTTACTGGAGGGCCAAGGCTGCCTTTGCTCTCCATTGATAAGATGACTGTGACTCGGAGTAGAGGCTGTGGCGCATTTTCATCTAAGCCTGCCCTTTAATGCCGCATTTTGGGAAGCTCCTAAAAATAGGGATAAGAGAGAAAGTATTTACTGAGGATGGAGGATAATCCAAAAGCTTTCTAAGAACATCAGCCTTAATATTTAAATCCCTGCCCAACAGACATTGTTACCAATTGTATAGAAGGTGTCTGGGAAATCATATAAGCAGATCAAACAAATATTGCCTAGAGACAGCTCTGGTATAGATTGTGAACTGGACGGCTCACCTTGTGGGCCACGCCACCCTGGGGAGTCGCAGCAGCAGCCCAGAATCCCGTTTCCTTAACCATCCAGTGAAATTAGAAATCAGGTTTCTGACTAATCTACTGGCCCCACCACAGGTGCTAGGTTCTCCTGTTCTTCTCTGTCCTCAAAACAACTCAGAATACAAAGATCAAAATGGGCTTTTATTATTTTTTTCTTTTAGCTCCAGCCTTGCACAAGAGGTTGATCTTTCCTTCCCCTGCCCTTCTCAGCCTCAAACACACCCTTTCAAGAATTTCTAATCTTCCAAAAGCTGGTCATGCCAAGAATCAACTGGATATAATTTAAGCCTCCCAATAGCAATTCTGATCATCACAAGAATAATGATTGGTTCTGGTCAGATGCCTTTCAATTGAAGACCTGAAAATAACATCTCAACCAGGCCTGCCCCATGCACCCCCACTCAGAGAGACACCATTTCTGTCTGATCTGTTTTACTTACTTCTTTTGAAATAAAAGTATGGCATACTTCTTGTACCAGTTTTGACTATTTAAGAACAGCCATCTGCCATACTCAACAATTTTTCATGGAAGAAAAAGGATGTACATTGATTCTTGCCTGTGACATTCAGCTGGGATGAGGGCACCCTGGAAGGAACAATTTATACCGCTCTTTCCATACTGTTACATTGTGAATTAGTTATAAAAGCTTTCAGCAGCAGCATCATAGACAATCAATGAAGACATATGCTTAACATGCATAAACAATTCAAAGGAGAAAAGGAACAAGTTGTTCAGCTGTATCAAAAAGAATGTAATGAGCTCTGGCCAGGTGGCTCAGTTGACTGGAGCATCGTTCCAGACAGCAAAAGACTGCAGGTTCGATTCCCAGTCAGAGCACATACCTAGGTTGCGGGTTTGAACCCTGGTTGGGGTATATATAGAAAGCAACCGATCGATGTTTCTCTCTCACATCGATGTCTCTTTCACTAAAGTCAATAAACATATTCTTGAGTGAGGATTTTTTTTTTAAGTGCAGAAAAAGAGGTAGCCTGTCTAGAGGAAGGCAAAGAGCCATAGGAATTAACAGATTTGTGGCCGATACTCCTCTATGTAATATGTAAGAAACACATTTTCCTTTCTACAAAATGATGAGATGAGAGTGAAATCTCCATATGCCTCTCTTGTTGTCTAATTAAAAGTATGTATTTCAGAATAAATCCAGAGAATGAATATCTCTAAACCCAAGTGGGGAAACAGTATGTTAGAACTGCTGTGGATACAACGCAATTATGTCTTGTATAACTAGTCAAACTCAAAATTCTTTCAGGTCAAACATTTAATCGATGTTCCTATTAAATTATATGCTTCATGGGTTTAGAAGGTGAGGTGGTTCTCTGGTGAAAACTCAATATTTTCAGGCACTCTCTTTTTGCATATAATTCTCAGAAAATCAAAGTGTGTAAGTCTAATTTACTTCTGAGACACATTTCTTAGTCTGATAATTATTTAAAAACTCATTCAACAGATTTTTCAAACCAAATTAAGTCATACTCTATTGTACATGGGTACATCTGAGAAAAACAGATATATTTTTCTTACGAAAAGCACAACTGTATTCTAGACAACCTGCAGAGAATGAACATTTATTTTTAAAAAGATGCAACCTGGTAGGATGCATCGCCTGTAATTATCTCCATCATCCTGTTTATAAATTCAAAATTGTTTCCACTAGCACTTCAGGTGTAGGCAGAGAAGTCAATACTACGCTGCCTTCACAAAGATTCTGCAGCCAGAACTTACACTGGCTCTTCTGAAGTGTTCTTATTGAAAGAGAACAGGATCAATGCACATGACACAAACAGGAACACAAACGGCCGAGAAGGAATACTGCAAACACTAACAAGGCTTTCAGAGCAATCACACGACCACTTCCACATGCTGTCCTAGGTCACACCCCTCCAGGGGGACCAGCTTCTCCCCATGAGAGAGCCCAGTTCACACACAATGAAAGGCTTTCTGGTCTAAGTCATCATCATCATCATCATCAAGACAAAACAATGGTAGAACAGTCCTAGGGAGAGTAGACTAGACCTACCATAATTATTTGGGTGCTCTTAACCAAACTCCCTGAAAACACATGGTATTCTAACCAAGAACACATTTACCTGGTTTGACCAAAGATAATTTGTGCAAACACATCAGGGAAATATCTTGACAGAGATGTTAAATTTGCCACTGTTTTTTAAACTAAACTACCATTTTCCATTCAATTGTAGCTGTAACTTATGACCAGAAAACCAGGTGTAATATATACTTTTTTACATTTTTAGGGTTCCCGGTGGTGCCAACTATAACCCATGCTATTGCCAGGCTGAAGCGCTTCAATGACAGGTATTGTGGCAGTTTTTAGTTAAATAAATACATGTAAATAAAATGCATCTATATTGATATATTCTCCCCCCCCCCCGCCCTTTTTTTCAGCTGCTGGATGAGTGTGGAAACCTATCTGGTTTACATCATCCATGGCCCTATCATGGCAGCACTGACGGTGAGAACTGCTTTTTAAGTCTATTGCTAACAATGTTATCTCTGAGGATTTCTTTGACGATGGTTCTATATAGCATATATATTAAAATTTTTAAATGAAGCTAATTAAATGATGATCTATAATAAGAACAATTTGAGAGTCTTCGGTTGAAAAAAATGTTGTATTTAATAAAATGGGAGGGGGTGCATAAGCTCATTTCTATACACCCTACACCAAAGGTTAAGTTTTTTTAAAAAAACAACAACACAATACTATAACCAAATTCCCTTAAAGGTAAAGAGCAAGGGCTGAGGAATGTTGAAGATGTTGCTGTTAAGAAAGGGAGGGACAGCAAAGTCCCCCTGCACTTTCCCCTGGGCCCTGCCCAGCAAAACTATCTTCCACTTTATCTTGGATCATGAGCCATCACCCTACCTACCAGTGATCATGCACTTAACGTATTTCATGCCCTTCACATACATTCCCACGCTGTTTCTAACAGCAGCCCTTCAAAGGAGATACATCACCGGGATAAGCTAGGTCCAAAGCTAGGTCCAAAGACTCAAGTAAACTCACCCAAAATCACATGACTAGTATGAAGTTGGGTTGGGGGAGAACATGCCCTTGTAGGCAGTCTCACGTCCTGTGTAGGTCATCTCTGCTCCCCACATTGAATAAAGAATGAAGGAAAGTGGGTGTCCTTCAGTGGTACTGATCTGGATGGTCTGCTCATTCATAACATCTTCTCTTTGCAGGTCAACTTCTTCTTTCTGCTCAACATCCTCCGTGTGCTTGTGAAGAAGATTAAGAATGACCGTCAGCACGACGGCAGACGTTACCTGAAGGCCGTGAAGGCCACCCTGTTCCTAGTGCCCCTGCTGGGAATCCAGTTTGTGATCTTACCCTGGAGGCCTCACACCAAGATTCCTGCCCGAGTCTATGACTACGTGATGCACTTTCTGAGTCATTTCCAGGTAAGGAAGCCACGGGTGTATTTATTCCATACCTGCTCAGCTAGGTTACTATCAACATAGTCGCTCACACTTTCAAAACACAGAGCAGAGAAGCAGATGTTGTATCTGAATGAAATCCTTCCGCTGGACCCCAAGCTGGAAGCTGTATCCCTCTGAAACTGGAATCCAGTTTTTTTCAGTTATTTCATTTGATTGCCTTGACCATGATTAGAGAGGTCAGGACCCTAGAATATCTAGAAGGTCAGCCATACCTGCAGTGGTAGGCAGACTCCAGAGAATGGGCATATTCTCCCGCTTGGTAATTTGCAGAACCTCTTTTCATCAGTAAACATTGAATCAGTTTTGGGATGAGGTGTAATGAATCTGCACAGAGCCATCCATGGCTTCTGCTCCGTCACCCTCCATTGGTCACAGGGGTGTCAGGAATCCATCGGTCACGTTCAGTGACTGTAAAGGGAAGTGCATTCAGGTCTGTCCTCTTGTGGGAGAGAACAGAGTTGGGCTCTCAGGAGCTTCCCCAGGTCTGCCACACAAAAATGGAGAATGGCTGTTTCCGTTCACTCTGCCCAGATCCACAGACCCACTTGAAGACATAGTACTAGGTATTTTGAAAGCAGGTTGGGGCATGGAGGGTCCTCGGGCAGAGGTGAGTCTGCCACAGGCTCTTAGGCCAGAGTTTTGCTGTCTTAATTATAAATTTCAAAGTAATTATACTTGCTACTACTGGAGGTCAAAATTAATAGGGCTAAAAATAATGTTTAGGGATTGTTTTAATAATTGCTTCTGCCATTTCTATTGATAATTAAAGCTTAAATGTAAGGGAACTTCTGAGTAGTGGCCAGGATCTCAGAGGTCACTTAGTCTGTGTCCTTCTTTGAGAGACGAACTTGGCTGTGGGTACAGTACTGCACTAGTTCACCGTGAAGACACGGGGCACAGTCAGGCCCACAGCCAGGCACTGTGATACTCATGCCTGCAAAAGTTTTCTTTACTAAACTCTACAAGGTCTCAGTTTTTTAAATTAAGTACAAAACATTCTTTTCAAATCCGCTCTAATCAGCATATTCTGCTATAAATCTTCATGTTAAAGGCAGCAGCAAATTAACCATACTGACCAGAGCTATCCTTTTAACTAAAGCTCAGAATCCTTCTAACAAGAAAAATACATGGCATATTCTGGTAGTGAAGCACTGAATATGAGTGGTAGTAACTGTTTTTCATCAAGCCTTGACTTGCTATCGCAACAGTAAAATGTTCCTCTCCAGAGTGACTAATTATATTGATGGCTAAATGGTATAATGCACACAAAAGTAACTCCAGCTCTACCCTTTCTCCTCTTTACAGGGATTCTTCGTTTCGATGATTTACTGCTTCTACAACACCACTGTAAGCATGCCGTTCACATAACACCTCCATTGTTTATAGAAAGCCAATACTTCACAGTTTCCAAAGGGCCTCTTTTCATGTGGCCTCACTTCCACAGTTTTCCTTACAGGGTCACATGACTAGCCAAGTTGTGTTTTTCTACCACTGAGTCTTTTCTATGCTCGTGTGGCACAATTGCAGATAGTATTCAGACGGGCAGCTAAGTCCTGATTTGCTTGGATTGCACCCTTGATGCTTCAGGAGCAACGGAAGTCTCCTTGTTGTTGTTATTTGTTTTTTGGGGGGTGTTTTGGTTTGTTTTTTTCAGATTTAATGTCCTTATTTTTGGATCAAAGCAGCATCAGACTCAATCTGTGGTATTGTAGAAAATAATTGCCCTTATTAAAGTGTAATTATTGAAACCTAGCCGCTTAAGGCCCCATTCTAATATGTGTGAGATTTACAAATTAACACAGATTGTCATCTCCACACAAAAGGATAGGTTATAATTTTGGAATACAATGATAGAGGGCTGTGAACACTTCTATAGTAATAATTTTAAAAAATTAGACTTCAAACCCTTGGCCTCGTGCTGAGCTGGGTACTTAATTAATATTCATGGCACTCCAATGGGGATTATTTGAAAAGGGCAGGTGAGAAGAAGCAAAGGCTTCCTGTTTTATTTCTGCTGGGTACTTTTACAAACTCATCTCTACTGACTGCTGTCTACCTTGGATACTTCTGGTTATCTGTTTAAGTTTTATTTATAAGGACAGTGTTGGTATTTGAGAAATGCTGAATGGGTGGAAACTATCAGTTACCTTTGTCTGGGGACATTGCCTCTCCAAAAATATGCTGAAACAATATGTTTCCTAAGTCCGCAACAGTGCATTTGGTGGCTCCTAGATTATAAACCTGATTTTTAAGGACCCGTGTTTAAAGGAAAGAACAACCCAAATAAAGTCATGCCAATTCTTGGCTAGTTCGAACAGGAAAATACATTGTAAAAAAAAAAAAAATCTAAATCCTAAAGTGAATTGTTTATGTTTTAGAAGTCTATCAATAGAAAGAGATAATTTTATACTGAAAAGATTGTCACTCCGCTAACCAGAGTTCTATCTGGCCATATCAGATAAAGGAAAATCAACAAAATTATAAAACCCAGAACTGTGCTATGATTTGCATATATATTTTCATGACCAATAATGTAGAGGTACAGATGAAAGCTTCTTCCTTGTCAGAGATGGTAGCAGATAAAACGTTTTCCACCTCCTTCTCCCTAATATGATGTGTATGCCATATATTGAGTGTGAAACCAAATCAAATTTCACTCATTGGACTTAAGAGCTAAAGAAGAAACCTTTGCATAGTAGCAAGTAACCTTGCCCATGATAGCTTAGACAAGTAACAAGTGCTCCAATTTGCAAATTCTTCTTCTCTGCACAGCCAGAGTATATACCATACAGTTCTTTAGATCAGATTTACAATTCAACCAACCACTTTGAACCTCTGATAAGTTCCAAGAATTGTGCTCCTAAAGTTGGCTTGGGTCATTTCTGATAATTATATGATAGCAAGACTTTTTCTCTTCCAGGTCCAAGAAGCCCTGATACGCCGTTTGCAACTGTGCAAAATCCGCTGGGAGCAGCGCAACGGATACGCCAACCGCCGGCAGAAATACAATATTATGCTGGCAGCTCTGGCTGCAGCTGCGGCTGCAACCAATGCCGATCCTGGTGATATCCCCGTGTGCATCTGCCACCGAGAGCCGAGGAACCACGCAGCTGCCAACAACCTGGAGGGGAACAACAATGACGTCCAATACGAAGTTGAAGCCGAAATCAACCTGGGCGAGGAGATTCACGAGATCATCCCGTTGGAAATCTTAGAGCAGGAGTCATGCGCTTAAATGTAAAGCAAATACAGCATCATGATCTCTGAGGCTTCACATCCTGGGAGAAAGTCCACCCATGCGTTTAAAGTGATCACCATCCTCCCAGGAGTCAGATATATCATTTGTGAAGAATTGTTAAGTGATTTTATCCATAGTGAATCTGAAGAATGTTCTTCTTGGTACTATTGCTATGGGAGACGGTCTAAGGAATGGAGTCTCCCACTGCCAACACTTGTAAATTCCATCTTTCATCTAGGACTGAAATGCAGGTGTAATGCAAGCAAGGTGTCCAAGGAAAACAATTAAATTGACCTAATTCAGATCCAGGGTGCTCATTGTAAAATCTTGAGCCATTTCTACCTTTAAAAATCAAAATCACTGTCAATATTTTCACTTTTAACTCTAAAATTTGAATTAGAATATTTCTGTATTTGGCTATGGATCTAAACTTCTAATCTATTTCAATCAATTCCGATGTTACTCAGATGTTTTACCATCCACACCACGTAAACCACACAAATTACAACAGGACCTCCACAAGACAAAGAGGCTTTCTCATATAGAGATGACCAAGAATGTAGGGGAAAGATCTGTACTTGGCAGGAAAACGTAATGCTTTGAATGAAAAAAAAAATTTTTAAGTCAATTTGCTCGAAACATTAGATGGGCCGATTTATGAATTGGTTTGTTCATATTGTATGCTCAGCCTGGTTTTGGATAATCCTGTCCACTGGGCAGCCCTCACTTTTGTAAGGAATTGGCCTTCATGTTGAATATGCTTTAGTTGCTGACATTTACAAATTGGGAGGTCACAAAGAACCCTTTGCTAAATTTTTCACAAAACTGCCAAAAATGTAATTCCTAATGGAAGAGGATATTCTCTTTAAAGAGATTTCTCTACTTGCCTAAATTCTAAGATTTGTAAAGCAAACCATTCCAAATTTTATAAAGCCAATTACCTCACCCTTGGGTGCTATCTAGCAGTAAAAGATAATTCGAATTGATAACTCATCCTAAAAGTCTATTAACTGCCATCCACTCAGCTTCACAGCTTAATAAGATCCCAGTCTTTCCCAGGAAGACTCAAGACGGCTGATTAGAAATCAGTTTCTGGTTGACCTCTGTTTGCAATGATTAGCCAAACCAGAGGAGGAAAAAAATATGTAACCACTACAAGTTTAACCATATTCAAATTTATTTAAAATAAATGTAGTTTCTCATTGAAGCCCAAAATTATATTCCCATATCTCTCTTTACATCCTCAGTATAATATCTTCAAAAATCCCTGAGTAAATCAGTATCATTAATGGCACCTGAAATTAATATGTGAATTTGCCACAGTAATCAGAGTGATCATTATTCAATTGGTATGCTAAGTGAGGAGATACATCGAAACCCTGCAAATTTCGTCTAATCTATGATATCTTATGCTACTGCCTAGAAGTGATTTAGTTGTGGTAAGACAAAAAAATTAATTTGTTTTGGTTACATATATAGTGCACCCCCATCCCCACCCCCCAGAAAGTATATTCTTTGAGAAAAATATTTTGGATACTAAAGTAGCTAAGACTCCTTTGCTGAAGGTAAGGGAGAAGTTATAAAGAGGGTATTTTTTCAATGACAGTGTTTATGTAGTAGTCTATTTTTGTTTACGGACATGGAAAGCAGTGTATTTCAGGCAGCTCTAGTACAACTGTGATAATATTTTGCTAAAATATTCTAGATGTTATTTAGCTAATACAGTAGGGGCTGATGAACAAAATAGCTTATTTTAGAATTGCACATTGTGCCAAAATTGTGAAATGCTTATGCTATGTATTTGTATAAATCAATACATCATCTGTGATAAGCAAAAAGGTGTGTATTTGCATATTTTTTCTAAAGAAATATATTATTTATCTTGTCATTCATTCATCTCCTGCTCATTCCATGTTCTTTTTCATTTCAGTCATGGGCTGCTAACATCTCATCGGGTTAACACTCCAGCAGAAGTTAGAAAACCATGTGCAAAACCATTAAGGTTATTATCTTTGTCAGTTTAACCACCTCCGGCCTGCAATATGACTATAAACCCTGTGGCGTATTTCTCATAACCTTGACCACAATACAAACACCACATACAACCATCAGTCTATATTGTATAAGTTTGGGAAGCACAGCGAAGAAATCTAGGGCAAGAACGTATCATAGCCTTTCATTGTTCTTGGTTGTTTTGTTGTTGGTTTTCATTATTCTGGGACTAGTCCTGAACTGCCCAACAACACATCAGATGATTAGAATTGTCATAGTCATTGATTTTTAATATAGTTTGAGACTAAGGCTGGATAAAAGGCAACTCATTAAATATTAAAATACATAAAGGCCACTATTGGAAAGATGTTCAGATCTGGAAAGCATTACATGTAAAAACTGAGGTAACTGAGAACTGTGCTGGACTGACAAAAGGGAACAGGCACAATTTTTACTTCTTCACATGCAATAGCATCCAAAATTGGTCTCGTGAGATCTGGAGAACTTTTTCAAAAAAAAAAACAACAAAAAACATAAGGGTAATGTCTTTCCCCTTATGTTTTAGTGGGTAACACACCCTTGTGATCTTGAAGAACAAAAGTAATTTCCCATCAGACCGTAAAATTGGACTCTTCAAGAGGGTAGCTTGAACTCAGATGGTCCGCTGTCCACCTGCTTGATCCCAACTATAAAGTGATCTAAAAAAGGCCTTTGGGTGTGCGTGGGTATCATGGGGACCTGAGATAGGAAAGATGTTAACAAAGACATGGCAGAAATGCCGTCATCATGGAGCTGCAACTTGTCTCATTCGTTTCTTCACTCATTGTCATTGATGTTTCATGTACTTTCATTCAGCTATACAACAAACATTAATAGTAGTTATCATGGCAAACTTTCTTTGCAGTGAAAACTGCTTCTCTGCTGAGTCAGTGATAAAAATCAAAATCTGCTAAGTGAACCATTATCCTCAAACCATAACCGCTCATATTTTGGAGGGTGGAAAAACAAAGCAACGTGTGTGGTTGGATGTGATCTTTCCTCCTCGCTAGTGCCGGGTGAAACATCTTCAAGGTATAGGAAACATCCTCAGAACAGACCTCTGCACAAAGGCTTAGCAAGGGCTCATTTTCTTGACAACGAGGTTTAAAACAGTGATTCTTTCATGGGCTACATTACAGCTCAACTACTATTCAAAGGAGTTAACATTCGAAGTTTGAAATAAGATTATTCATGGAGGGGGGATCAGAAGCCACATTTAGAAAAGCAATCAGGTAAACTCAGAAGCAAACTTTATTGGTTATTTTGAGCATGGAGGCACGCTGTCTCCCTCCTAACATAAGCTTACTGGTAGTAAAATTGGTTTTACCTGTGCAGAGTGTGGAGGTGGGGGAAATAAGACGTGAAAGCAGAAAGAAAAGGGATGATATGTGCGTGCAAGGACCAAGGACGAAGGTAGAAAGGCCACATTTGAAAATTAAGAACTAACTATATTTCTGATGATTTTTATTCCTCTGGACACAGAAGTAATCTCTTTAATATCAGAATAATATGAAACACTGAAGAAAAGAAAACACAGCCGTTGACACTGGAAACTAACTTAGGTCAAGACGATTTTCTACTCTGGTATCTTCCTCCACGGGGATTACCAGGCATCTCTGAAAGGTTTCAGAGGTTTTCCACTTATCTTACGCATTGACGAGCCAGTCTCTTAGGTCACTGATCAGTGTTCATTTTACTTTTACAGCAACTCCATGCCTCCTACCTACCTGTCCCAGAAACCCTCCCACTGAGATTCAAACTGTGTCCTCGCTCTTCTGCGACTGACCAGCAATGCCACTGCATGTCATGGCTGTCTCCTTTACCTAAGAGACTTATTACCTTATTTTAATTTGGAGAAATTGTCTCCAAAATTGAAATGTCTTTAATGAAAACAAAAACACAAAAAACAACAACAACAACAAAAACCAACATGCCAACATTCAAAATAGATCAGGAAATCTGTCTCTGTCTAACCATGCCAGACTGGCTGATCAAAGCGAGCACACCCGTCTCTCACACAGAGGCCTCCACCTAAACTTGCCCCCAGCAGCAAACTCTCGAAGCCTCTGCGCCGCAGGGTGGGAGGTTAGCCGTTGAAAGGGCAGCAAGCCTTTCCCTAGACGGAGCAATCCTCCAATGCACCCAGGCAGTACAGCTTCTGTACGTTGTCATTCCCAAGAGGTATATTATGGGCCTTAAAGTTATAGGGAACATCCCTTAGACAGAGATCCTTTGAGAACAACAAAGGGACAGCAATCATTGAAACACTGCAGTCAATACAAACCTAGAGACACTAGCTTACTTACTCATCACAGCAGCCCAAGCCAGTTTTATCCCCATTTTAGTGACGAGAAAACTAAGTGGAAGAGAAGAGGTATAATGCACCCACCAGTCACACAGTAAGTGGCTGAGCTAGGATTTGAAACAAGGGTGCCTGCCACTGCTTTTAAAAAAAAACAAAAAACAAACAAACAACACCCCAGAAACCACACACACAAAAACAAACAACACACAAAACAACCAACCGGGAAGTGTTCACACTAACACAGAGGGCCTCCTGGGTCCCTGAGGCCATGGGGGCACTTGCAAGAAGGACTCCTGTAGGACACGCAACAGCCTGCGGGTCTTCTGCACCCCAGGCCCGGGCACAAGGCCGGGTCTCCCCCAGGCAGCGGTGAGCGGTCCCAGCGACCCCGAGAGCTCAGAGGGGTCTGACTCCGTGTTGTTGACTGACTTCACGGTAATAAGACATTCAGTCACCTGGCACACCAAGTCTGGCTCCCCCTCCGCCATCAGGAGGTCTGCCGCTCCCGCTGGCAGGTCTAGGCCTCCAGGTACCCCCGGGGCACATCTCCTCGAGCTGCTGAGGTTCCTTCGCGTCCACGGGGCGGGGCAGGCCGCGGGCGGAGCCCTTCCCAGAGCCCTGCAGACACTGGGGAGGTTGCGGTGGGAGCAGCGGCTGAGGAACAGGGCGCAGGGGTACCGGTCCAGCACATCGCCAAGTGCCCAGAGCACATTCATTGCACACGGACTTGAATACAGCGCGGGGTCGCCCCCCTGCCAGGGGCTCACAGGGATACTGGTGGGTTCTGCTCCCAGCTGGGGCAGTTCTGGCCCCAGGGGTGTGTGGCTCAGCCTCCCCTGCAGGCCCCGAGATGGCAAACTCAGCACAGGTTTGGGAGGCTGCTGGGGCCAGGTCTCTCCAAGGGGGGATGGCTCCCTGGATCTGAATAAGGGCTTGACCCCAGCAGGAGGGACTTCACCCCTACCCAGTGTATGAGGAATTTCTTCCTGGGGGGGGCGAGGGGGGAGAGAAGGCCCTGTGGGCTGCTGCACTACCTCTGCGTCCATCCCAAGGTTCTTCTGGGACCTCCTCGCCCCCAAGATAGGGGGGAAAGACCCGAGGAGGGAATCAAGGTGTCCCCCCTGTACCCCCACCAGCCGGGCCCTCAGGTCTCTGCTTTTTAAATCGCCATCCTTTTAAATTGGCCCTACTCTACTATTCTGCCTCTCAAAGCAAAACTGTCCCCCCTCTCACTCTAAGGATACCAGATAGTTGTCTCCCCATAGTTGAGAGGACAGGGGTTGTTTGCAATATGTATAATTTTCAGTCCCAAATTAAGTTAATTCATGACCCATGGGTTCCTTCAACTACGAGGCGTCTCCAGATGAAATCTTTCTTCCTATAGTAATGATTTCTTTTCAAAGCCAGGGAGTTCACACACCGGGTTGCTTTGCAGCTTCTCCAATTCCAAGGGGGTCCTCAGGCAGATATTTGGGAGACAAAACACTTTGGAAAACATTTCATGGTCACGCCATGGACACATCTGCCCTAACTCAAGGCCTGATGAGGAGGTGAGTAAGAGTCGTGAGGGCTTTTCTTAGCACTGTTTTAGTAAGAGTTCCACACACTGGTTTTCAATAATTGAGTCCTGAATATAAAAGACGCTTGGCCAGTGTGGTTCAGTGGTTGAATGTCAACCTATGAACTAGGAGGTCACAATTCAGTTCCTGGTCAGGGCACATGCGGGGTTGTAGGATCAGTCCCCAGTGTGGGGCATGTAAGACGCAGTCAATTAATGATTCTCTCTCATCATTGATGTTTCTATCCCTCTCTCCCTCTCCCTACCTCTCTGAAATCAATACAAATATATATTTTTTAAAAGACCAACAAAATTAAATATTTGGTTCTTCAAAAAAATTTTTTTTAAAAAAAACTCCTCTAGTGAGACTGATCAAGGAAAAAAAAAAAGATGCTTTAAAAAAATGTAATAAAATGGTGGAGATTTAAAAAATAAGATTATTATGATGTCCATATTTATATGTTATATGTACAATTATTCACTAATAAATTTGAAAACTTAAAAAAACTAAATTTCTAGAAAAAATATGCAGTATGTAAAATGGACAAATTGGCCAAAAAAAAAATAGAGAACTTGAATTAACTAATTAGTCATAAACCACAGTCTTATACAGTGGGGCCTTGACTTACAAGTTTAATTCCTTCCGAGACCGAGCTCATTAAGGAGCTCATTAATTCAAATTACTCTGTCAACTCAATGCAAAAAAAAAAACGGCCGAGAGACAGCTGGTATCTCAAAAAACTGGTTAGTCGAGACACTCGTAAGTCAAGGCCCCTCTGAATGTTACTATACATAAGTTCTATCATATTTATTGAGGAATAGTTAATTCATACCT